AAAAATATTAAAAAAGTTGCCTATACCAGTATTCGACGGGAATACCAAAATTTATTGGTAGGACTAGAAGCAAAATAATATAAATTGTGTAGCGGATGATTTCAAATAATACTTAAATTCCTTGTTACGATCTGTAATCGACATAGGACTGGCCAAAAAGATAATAATAAACTTAATTTTGAAACATTCGTAACTGTGTTATTCGTGACTGGGTGTTAATGATGCGTAAGGATCGATACAGGTAACGTACACACCAATAGCAATAAATTCACCTTTTGTAAACAAAACGAAACTAGCGTCACATTGGCGAAGGTATAAACTTTTGGCGGCTTTGAAATCAGCCAACTTGTTGAACGGTCCAAACGTTATAACAATTAAACAAGAAAACTAAGCGTGCATTGAATGGAGCCACTAAATTAAAGGGCTAGCCACATCATTAAACGGCTGACTTAATCACTTAGCTGCGACATATAAACTAACTGGTCACTAAAATAATAAAAATAAATAATTTATAAATCAAAAACACACCAGCCAAAGTCGAACTAATAATGAAAGAAACAAGTAGTATGTATCATGGTTTGGCTAAACAATACTGTCCTTGCAGTCTGGGAATATCTTAGATTACAAATGTTCTAAAAACAGTCCCTCGATTGCAATGAAGTGTTTTTAGCCAAGCCATAATTAAAGTACCTGAAACTCGGCCAATGCCTTACTACTTTTATGTTGCCGCTATTGAATTCTGGTAACGTATCTAAATGTTATATATCATCATTGCCCACAATAGTAATAAAATGATAGTTGACCCGGTGTTCAGCGACCTGTCGGCTGCCCCGCCAGCACTCAGCAGCTGCTGCTCGCCCTATTGGTGACGTTCGTCGACCGGATATCGGATAGTGTCAGTGCCGGATTAAGCCAGAGCGGGGACAGTAGCAAATGTTTTAAAGGGCCCTTGGTTTGCTTGAGATTAAGTGTATGTATGGGTATTTCAAAAATTTGTGGGGATTCTTCCAGTCCCCTAATATATCTTTTGTGATGACGATGACGAATAATCGGAATCAATAACTTTGCAAATGAAACAGAAAAATGTACTTTCCAAATAACACAACGCTACTAATATGTGACTAAAAACTTACAAATATGAGTTCTTTCATTTTAAAGACTGTTAAAAAAATAGTAACTGAAAAATAATTTTGTTGGTCAGGTCATAGCGAGGCTCCCAATTGCGCGGAACCCCCAAAACACGGGGCCCCAAACGCGCGGGGCCCGTAGAATTTGCTACTTTTGCTACGTGACTAATCCGGTACTCGATAGTGCTGTTTCGATTGAGAAGGATTGGAAATCAACAATAGGCAGGAGCGCCGCGCCTCTCACCACTATACGAACCATATAATGGCGCGTGTAGCTGCACCCATTTCTGTCTGCACACCTTGCGTCATTGACATAAATTTATATATATATATATATATATACAAACATCACAAACATTCATATCGTTACATAATTTTATAAAAAAATGTGCCCGACTAGGATAAACTGTCCTATCTTTTTAATTACACTCTAGGTATTTGTTCATCGGGTATCTATTTTTATAGCATACCAGTAAACCGTTTAGTGTGATAAATACTTAGTGACTTTATTTTAATAAAGGTTAACAATTATCCATATTAATTTCATGAAAATCCGTACTTTATTTCCGTTTTTCTGTCCGTGTTTTTTATTTTCGTTAGGTATAATTTATGATATTCAAATTGGTCGTGAATGAAAGCGTGAACAGGCGTAAGTGTCCTTTTTGTCCCTTTCAAAGAAATTAAGGTCAGTAGTTGAATGTTCTTAAACTAGCTTAATGTAGGAGGCGCGAGTGCGTCTGTAGCCGCGCGTTCAACACTCATATTGTCACTAATACTCACGGTTGCGGCTGACTCACCTGCGCCTGCGCTGCGGCCTGTGGCCACACGCGCATTCTATAGGTAATATACCAGGCTCCTATACAATACACAACAAAACTCATGGCTACCGACACGGTTGTATGTAAATGAACTATTTGTGTTTACATCATAGTCAGATAGAAGATGTTACTTTTATGACAACAGGTGCACATAATAGGGATGATGACTAATTTTTGTTTGTTTGACCGTCAAGTAGAGTGTTAAAAAATATTAAACACTTTTTTTTTTTCGTAATCATAAAATTACGGCGTTACATTGCGTTGAAATTTCGCATGACGTCACGTTATAGTACGTTTTTTACTCAACTGTGACGTAGCGAGCCTCCACTCCTCAACTTTAATGCCTGTTATCTAAGCTTTTTCTTGTTAAATTGAAGTAAAAAAATAACTACGTATTTTTCTATTATCTGACTGACGGACTAAATAGAATTGCATTTTTGTTACCCAGTCATCATCCCTATTAAATCGGTATCAGTAATAATATTCATGTTAGGTATTTATTACTGGCTAATATCTAATAAATACTTTAGATGTATATTATTATGGAGCGTAAACTATGGGTATTCACTAATTCACCATCAATCAGAATCTAGTTATAATAATTGAATTATCAAACAATGGTTATTTATTGACCGTGGTTGCTGGAAAACCACTTTAAACATGATGGCGACAAATTTAGATTTTCCCATCTGACCTTTTAGATGACATACTCTTGTTAGGTAAATAATGGTGGAGTAGCAAGAAACTAGTTTCCCAATTTTTGCTTTTGTTTTGCATCATCGACACTCCTATGAAATTAGCTTCCTCCTCCTATAAAAAGCATAGTTTAACTAGGTCAAAAACCACTTCTGTCATATAAGGTAACGTTTGCGATCACGTTTAACTTCACACCCCTACTTATACTTGAGATCAATCTACTGATGATGGCACAAATAGGCGGCGAGGAGCGGGGCGCGGCGCGTGGGAGCTGCGATGCACTCGACACTAAGAGCTAGCCGACGAGCTCACACCTCGTATGCTCTCGTCAGCCCGCCCGCGCTCTCACGGTCCAGCCAGGCACACTTGTCCACATTAATTAGGTTTTGTTTTTACCAAAAGCCGTTATAATAATAACTTAAAACGAGCTAACATCATCAAGAGACACGCAACATTAAATGCTTGTCGCTGGTACTCTATAAGAACGTGAGTTTGCTAAGGTATAAGGATAAGTTAATCAAATTATGGGTTGGTAAGTATTCGGATTAGGTACGTGGAGGGTCTTGGGTCTTGGCGCGTGTGTTTCACGCATTAATTAGAATACGGCATGACATCGCCGCAAGTGATGTCTTCCTGCCAATTAAGATACGTTTGCCTACGGCGGCGTCCGCGTTCTCTACCTTATATGTTGATTGGTGGAGTTTACAATAACAATAAAACGTTCAACGCCATTATCCTCACATGACAGGACATTTTTCCTTAATTTGTAAACACAAAAATAATCAAAACATTTTCATTTATTATTACGGTTTGAAGTGTAGGAATGCATACATTTACAATATTTTACTTTCTAATTCTGATTAGTTGAACGTTTTTATAATATACTAGCTTTTTCCCTCGACTTTGTCCGCGTCGTATAGTTACTTTGGGCAGAATATATTTTTCAAAAACGCTGTTGTTTATCGAGTTGATGATGAAATTTCCTTGATGTTTTAGTTCGAAGATACCACAACAAAAAAAACAACAAATATCCAATATGTTTAAGCACTTTATCTTTGAAAACTTTAGAGATATTGATCCAATCCAATCCAATTTGAAATACAGATGGAAGTTACAGTTCTGAAGTTTACACAAAACTTAATCGAAAACGTAATCATCATCATCAGCCGGAAGACATCCACTGCTGAACATAGGCCTCCCCCTTTGAAGTAATCTACGTAAACAAATTTAGAAATTTAATAATTTGCTGAAATAACTTATTTATTCGATATTTATATATGATCACTTACTATTGGCAACATCATGAAGAAGTCTACTATCAGCCCCCCATATTGTTAAACGCAAATCATTCATTGATCTGGCAAGGCCACATCATTAGTTTCAACTCACTTTTGTTTCAAATCCCCTCGATCTCCCCTATATGGGCAGCATTTTTCTGGCCGGCCACATCATGAATTGGTAAATTCTACGATCTGGCTACGACATATATACTTCGAAACCTATACTAAGGTGCTTACATAATATGAATGAACAAATATAATAAAACTGGATATGTGAAATTTCCAAAAATCCGTTCTTAGTACACCTCTACGTATTAAGGGGAATGTTCCCTCCGAATTTAAAGTTTCTACGACCAGCGGCTTAGGTTGTGCGTGTGCGTTGTCTGTCAGTCAGTAAGTTAGGACATCTTCTATATAAGTATGTATAGATTATGTAATATGTGTTAAATCCGCTATCTTGTTACAGAGGAGTAGAAATAATGCCTTCCACATACACTCACAGACACAATTAATCGCCCACTAGACTTGTGTAGTTCGCGAACGAACTAGTTCGCAAATTTCCCGTTCCGTATTTCGTGACAGAATGAGTAAAGGTGAAGTCGGCCGAACTAATATGTTTTCGTTAAAAAAACAAAAAACTCGACTGCGTAAAAACGTATTTTAAAAAATACATGAAAAAAATAACTTCTTCTTCTTCTTTCGTGTCAATGGCAACCAAAACTAAATGTCATCGGTCCAGAACTCCGCCACCTTTACGGCGCTATCTACAGCCGTCATGAGATCCTTCTGCGTACAAGTGTAGGGGCATGCGGAGCAACATATCAGGTGTGCAGTGGTTTGAGGAGTCGTACCACACCTGCACGCAAGGTCTGCAGTATTATTAAAAAAACTAAAAAGAAATAAATAAGCCCAGTAATTTAGAATTCTGTTAAGTAATACAGAACAGAACGACTCACAGACGGGGCCCATTTAAATATTACCAATAAAATCTTCCCAAGGGGCCCCGACTATGAGTCGTTCTGCTTTGTATTATATTCATCTGTATTCATATGAACTGTTAATTATTTAGTATAGTGCCAATGATTTTACAGGGCGAAACGATATTTTCGTGGTACAGCGGCGAGGCGGGTGGCGGCGTGGGAGCGGAGCGCGTGGCGGATAGGTGGGGCGGGCGCGTGCGCAGGTTGACCGACGGACGGCTGGGGCTCGGCCGCGGCTCCATCAACGTGACCGCCGTGCGCGAGACCGACGCCGGCCTATATCGATGCCGTGTCTCCTTCCCCAACCGCACGCCGCCTGCTCGCAACAATGGAACATTCTACTTCCTTGATGTTGACGGTACAGTAGATAAAACTGATTTCGAAGCGCGGAAAATTTCGCCCAATCGGTTGATCCAACAATATCCACGCACCTGACCCCCGCCGAGCGTGGGTGAGACAGACCCAGAATGCACTAAATTTTTCACCTGATGATTATCAAAGTGAAGAGTTTAACTATGTCATTTTTTTTTTAAATTGACGCTTGGTCATCGTCGAAATTGGTGTAGCCTATTCGTTCTGCGCTCTAAATCCTAAATCGCGTTCCTTTAGTTTTATGTTCTTAACAATAATCTAGCTTCCATCGCAAGTGACGATGTATATAGCATTTTAGTCACCTTCGTCAATAATTTTCCTGCATTGAAGGGCTCCCGTGCAAACGACCGTGTTTATAATTTCCCATAAAATTATAAAATTAATGTTTAAGGAAACAAAGCTTTCTGAGGCCTAAATGTTCATGCAGAACTTTTTTTTTTCTGGACTCATATATAAATTCTCGTCGCCCGACTCCAAGCTCTTTCTTTAGTGTTCCAGTAAGTAGAACCAATGTGGGTAGAGGTGCCCCTGTGCCAAGGCTGTTAAACTCGTACAATAGTTGGCATATAATTTTTGACCTCGATATCTTCCATGACAGTTTTCGACAATATAAGGACAAAATACTGCACACACATCGACCTACTATTAGACCTAAAGTAAAGAAGTAAAGAATTAATTTAATTTATTTTATTATAACATATAAACTGATTATTTTGGCATTTGACATCTGATATGGTATTTGTTGATTTTGTTATGTGTATCACTCGTATACACATTACAAAATCAATTAATACATTATTTGCAGGATAATGTATTAATTTAACTCCAATATCTTGTAACTGTAATGTATTATTATGTAATTATAATTGAATCGTAATTAAATAAATATTGTAATCTAATTGTAATAAAAACGCATATGGAATATCTTAATTGTAACAAATTCTGTGCATTTTTGTAATTGTCATAAATGCTAGATACACTTTTCATTTAAAACATTAACTAAATTATTTTTGTATTTGTGATGTTGAAGTGCCTTGAGTAAATAAATAAAATAAATAAATATTGATGTCGTAATACCATTAGCCGCATATATGAGTGCTCAATGTGGGATTAGTTAATAACTTGTAGAAATAAAATTTTGTCGTGCAGGTGGTAATCTGATAGTGACTCCCCCTATGAACGTAACGGTGCTGGAAGGTTCGCGAGCGGAACTAGAGTGCCTGCCGAAGCACAGTGAGGCGAGCGTGCAGTGGTACCGGGACGGGCTCCCGCTCGAGCGGCTGCCCGAGCTCGCGGCGAGGGCGGAGGCCGCGCGCAACGGGAGCCTGGTGCTGCGCGCCGCCCACAGCGCCGACCCCGGCGAGTTCCAGTGCCGCGTGCGTGACCCCGACGGCACCACGCAGTCTGCCAGCGCCTTCCTCGACGTGCAGTGTTAGTTTATTATATTAATACTATCAATCAAACATTGAATTGCAATTCCGTACATCGTAAGCATCGTTAACGAACAATTGATAACATCAAAGATATTCATTATTTCATTCGGCTACTTATATTTGTGCAGACAAGGCGAAGGTAGTATACTCCCCATCGGAGCGCTACTTACCTTACGGCAAGCCGGCGAGCCTGGACTGTCACTTCAGCGCCAACCCGCCGCTCACGAATCTGCGCTGGGAGAAGGACGGGTTCCTGTTCGACCCTTATAATGTACCTGGCGTTTTCTATAGCAGGAATGGCAGTCTGCTCTTCAATCAGGTTATCGATAGCGATATACGTACGTCATTATACTCACCTTAACATCAATCACAAATGCTTCTTATTTTTTTTTAACCAGACGGATGACATGGACCAGTAATGCTATTTGATCTTATTCTTTTTAACTCGCTCTTATGGCGATTTGCGATACACAGGTATCAAGTAAGTAGCCAACAGGTGCGGATCCGCCGGAGCGGGCCCTGGAGGCGCAACCCTGAATCACTAGCCGTAACCGGTAAAGTCTCACTTTCATGCTCTATTGACATCGACAGGCGGATTTTGACTACGCTCCCGCTGAGCGTAGCACCGCGGAATGATCGTCGAGGATAAACCACTATGCGCTCGTGTGATTCATAATAATAATACACAAATACACGGTCTCGTGCGTCACTTCCGGCATAAACCGAACGAGTATTTTATATTGGAAACCGATAACGGTCAAACGAAGCGAAACGGAATAGTTTTCATCATCCTGAACGCATACAGGTGGACGAATCCCACGAGGGAGAATATTCTTGCACGCCATACAACGCGCTGGGCAGCGCGGGCGCGTCGGAGGGCGTGCGCGTGCGCGTGGCGCGTCCGCCCGCGCTGGCGGCGCGCCCGCGGCCGCTGTACGTGGCGCGCCTCGGGGACCGCCTCACGCTGCCCTGCGCGCCCGCGCCCCGCCCGCCGCTGCCGCCGCCCGACCTGCGCTGGGCTAGGGTACCGTTGTTGCACATAGCTTTCGATAAGATATTAGATAAGAGATCGGTCTGTGATCGCAGAAGTTAAGCCACTTCCATAGAGGCCGGTCATCTGATGGTGCCCGATAATTTGTTATCTCGAGCCAGGTCCCGCTCTTTGTTCCGAGTGCTTTCTCGTCCCGACGACACCTACCGGCAAGAAACAGTGCCCTGAGTGAGTTTAGTCATGAGGAAGACCCGAGAAGTGGGAATATTTATAGGTTTAGGATTCCGTTTTGTTTACTCACCTGTGTTCATTTATGTGTCCGTGATCGCCAGAAATTATATACATTAATGGAACTTATAATTATTTATTGGCTCGAAACCACCACAGGTGTCGCTAGCTTTATAATATCTGTTCAGTTCATGTTCGGATATATTTTGTGTTACAGAAGGACGGCAGCGAGTTGCCAAACAATCGGCACTCGATAGAAGACGGCAACCTGACGATAGAGGGCGTCGCGGAGGAGGACCGGGGCGTGTACGTGTGCACGGCGACCAACGAGGCGGCCGCCGTCAGCGCGGAGACCGAGGTGATGGTGGAGAACCTGCCGCCGCGTGCGCCCCACAACCTCACCGCACGCGCCCACCACGACTCTGTTCATCTTTCGTGGGTGCCAGGTCTGTTGAAGAAGATTGTTTTAACATCTTCCCTAATAGTTCACCTTTGAAATGTCACCTAACCAGGTAGTAATACGACAAGCGAAAAAACAATTAAAAAAATCTAAATAAACGACGCGTGGCATGTGAAATTAAACCCTGAGTGTTCGGCGTCTACCGAACACTGTTGACGTGTCGTTATTACAACGCATTACGCGGATTCGTCTGACCGTCAGGGAATTTGTAAAGTGTGCTTGCAGTATTTCGGCTCAGTCTTTGAAAAAGTCTTTCGGGATGCATGAAATATATTGACATATTGTCTCTATTTATTTCTGGGGCTGATGATAAATAAAGGTGCGAGAGTTATATACCCATTATAAAGCATTCTATTTAGTCTTGCGTATAAATTGAAATTTTACGTATTGATTATCTTTTAATGTTGCAACCCTTAATGTAGACGAAAATAAAGTAGAATGAAGAATTTGATTAATTTCAATAAAATTTTTCATTTACACCTTTACTTTTATTATGATCCGAGTTGGTTGAAATAAATAAATAATAATTATTACAAATAACTTAAATATAAATGAAACCCTTTAAAAAGAAAAAAATAACCTTGACATTATGACCCTACATAATTACAGACAACAGCATGTCAGACTATTTCACTTTGAACTTTACGCTAATATTGAACTGCAAGCTTGACCTGCTGTTGACCGTATATATGAAATTTTTTCTTAAATGTTGTCGCGTCGGGGTACCGCTCTAATTAATTACCCCACCGTTTCTAAAGCACGTACTAAATATGTGCTATAATATTATTACGAAGTCTTCAATGAAATATTAGAAGCACAGTTTTACTAACTCGCGCGCGTTTGTGATGGACGAAACACACCTAGTGGGCGAAGCGTTATCAAGTGTGGCGACCCAAGCGAGCAGACACGAATAGCGGTCCCCCAACGTGACAACATTTAACAAAAAAATTGTGGGGGGTCTTTTAAATTTTTTATTTAACTATTTATTTTTTCTTGCTTTTCTAGAGAGTCCTTCATTTTTGATTAATTTTCTTGCAAGTTGCAGTTCAGTTAATTTGATGATTATCTTTTTCTATACTCCATTCATTATAACGTTAGAAAAAAGAAGATCACAGAAGCAGCAGTGCACAACATTTTATTTTCAAGATAAATTTTAAATATATATACAGGAATAATTTAAAACCACTGCGAAGATTTTGTGAAAATAAACTTTAAGTAATTTAAACAAACACGTATTTGTTATTTTGATATGTTCTAATACTAAAAAATAAAGTTATCGCTTATCAAAGATCGAGATTTTAAAACTTAATTTATGGACACCGCGCGCCGTGCGTCAGCTGAGCGCTCGCTCGACGCCGGCCGTAGGCATTTATTTTTTATTTTATTATTTATTATCAACAACATTTACATCGATCATTACAGCTTATAGCCAATGCGATCTAGTAAACCTTAACAATTTTTCTTAGACCTTACTTTTTTTATATATAAAATAAGCTTTGATTAATATATATTGTTCTTAATTAAGTTTATATGTACAAAAAAATATTGCAGTTTTTGTAAACTCACTCAGAGCACAATCAAATATGTCAATTTCATTAGCTATCATATTAATGATAGATATAGCGCGTGTGAACGGTCTATGTGGGCGGAGTTATGGGCGATGCAACGCGCGGCGCCTCGCGATCCCACGGTTCGTGTACGTACATCGTCGGCGCTGAAGTTTGCACGTGTGTGCGTTTTTAGTAGAGAGTACTACCTACATCGAATAATAAGGCTGCGTCCACACCCCACTTTGAACGCCGAGCGTGTATGACGTAATACTTACATCTATGCATCTATAACGTAAACATAGCGTTTACGTAAAGTTTACATTATATGTACGTTTACGTTTATGTATTACGTTAATCACAATGGAGAAATATTTTTTATTTTTTTTATTAATTGGGTGCATCTCTTTTTTTCTGTAGTCGGGATAAAAAAAGTAAAAAATAAAAAAGTTACCATACCTTGAAATACTAATGTGCGCAATTTACCAGATACAATTAAGTAACTGGTTTGGACTATTGGCGAGCTGTTTATTGATACTTAGGGTATTTTTTTGAATGATAAAGAAATGATAAGCTTATTTTGAGTCACCTGGGTAACCGTTATGTTTTGGAATAAAAAAAATAATTATAATGTTTCTTTATACTTTATTAGATACATGGTAGCAAAAATAATTATATAATTTTAACAACTTTATTCTCAACCTACGATTATTTGAAAAATTAACAAAAACGTTGTCTCTTGGATAACTGTGAATAGAAATAATATTTAACTTTAACATAATTCTTATACATTTTAGGTTTTTTCTTCAAATCATTGATATCTAGAAATTGTATTAGAAGTTGTAATCAACACTATTTTCTTGACTTTTTAACAAAGATGAAAATTAAGATAAATACTAAAAATGGTTTTACAAACTAGGGACAATTGGTTTTCCAAGAGACACAATTAGGTTTTCGAAGAGACATCAGAAAGTAGTTTAATAGAGATAGTATTCAAAAATTGACTAACCGTTTTTAGTAACGAAATAAATATCTTAAGACTCTATAATACGAGAGTAGTTAAACAAGAAAATCAACAATTTATCAAATAGTAGACTAGTACTCAGTCAAATAGTTAAATATTATCCAAATATAATCAGCCTTGCAAATTATTTTGTTCTAGGAACCATCAAAATAACTAAAGAGGTTTAAAAAACTTAATACTTAGATAATTATAGAGGTACTTATAAAAACTTAAAAATCAGTCAAACCTTAACATAATCAGCCTTTTCATAGAAAAAAATTAAAATAACTCTAGATTACCAATAGTGAGTTAAGACATTACAGTTATCAATCGTGCAAAACAAGGTTTTACATTTCAAAAATATCAATATTATCTGTAAACTGGAAGTGATACTGACCACGTTTTGGTCGTGGTAATTTTTTTATGATGTCCTCATGCTTGATGTAGGCAACATCGTTTTTGTCAAGGCGGAAAGTTTTCGACTTATTTACGCGCCGCAAAAACGTGACTCGTATTTCTCCATCGTCGTCCAATTCATCATCTGTATAGTTTGCCTTTCATGTTTTGTACATTGACCATCAAATAATCACCTTGAGAATAAGCCACACGCTGTTCTTGTCCAGACCCTGTAGGTACTGAAGAACATGATTCCTGTTCGTCTTCTGAGTCATAAATAATTCCATATGTGGGTTTATCACGTGGTTGACATAGATGAGAAATTTCGATCTCACTGTCTCTATTTTGTTGATCTTCCAAAGCTAAGTTTTTGAGAACACTCAATGGTTCGTTATCATCTCATGAACTACTTCGGTAATAACATGTTTTATTAATTCTGATGTTCGTAGGATAATAAATTTTAACGTCCAGGCAATCACAAAATCCCCTATTACAAAAACATCCCAAACTTCTATATTTTATCGATCACTTAATGTTTTTAGAAGGGCCATCACAAGCGCCTTGATTTTAGAAGATAGAGCTTTACATATTGTATCAATATTATTCTGAGAAATTATAAACAGTTTTATCTTGCACTTAAATCTTCAACTGTTCCTTTCTTTGTTTCTTTAATATTTTTTACTGCCTTGTGTGTTCGTCCATCTTTTTCGTATGATATTTCTTTCCTACACCATTCCTGCCACGTCATTGTCATTGAATTTTTTGTGATATCATGACCTATTCTTTTATTACAGCAATCTTGACATGTAGAGTACATGCATGATTGTCTTTGTGGATCACAAACTATTGCCGAAATCAGGTGGTCTAAATTATCGTCATTAACAATTCCTTTCTTTTTGAGTACCTGTGCTTTATAGGTCGGGTTGAGATGTTTCTTGCATAAGCACATTTCTCGTGCGGAGACTGAAGGCTTTACAACATAAAAAGGTAGGCTTTTGGAAAAGTAGCTGTATGAACATTTGATGTCAGGGTTTTCCTTTTTGAATGTTTGAAAGAAAGCTTTTACTGTATCCAATAAATACCTCTTTTGCATTTTCACACTACTTTTAGTTTTTGTATCTTTTCTTCCAGCCGTTGGCCTCGGTATATCATCTCTTGAAAAGAAATACCCGATTCTTTCATTTAACTTTAGTTTGCTATTTCGTACACTTATCGTAGATCTCAAACTCCCTTTCAAACCTAATGCATCTTTTGCAATGTTGACTTTTACCGAATCTTGAATTTGGTCAAATACTCTTTAAAACGTAGTTTTTTCTCGATTTTTTTTCAAAGATATGTATTTTTCTTTTATCGCATTGCTTAATGTTCTGTATTTTTTTTCAAAATTATTTTCATATCTATCTTTAAAGTTTTCCTTATTTTTTTTTGAGATCTTTGGTATCGTTTCTTATATTTTTCGTATTTTTGTTTTAATTCTTTCATTTCCTTTCTTTAGCTTTAAACTGTCTCTATAGAGTTTTGACCGGTCACGTTTAATTTGCTTTCTACCTCTTTCCTTGTGAGAAACTGATGAACCTTGCGACAATGCAGGAGAATCGTTTCGTTGAATCTCTATCAGGTTATTATAATTTGGTTCATTTTCCACGAAAATGGCGAACTTGGAGGTGTATTATCAATAAACGGTGAAGATTTTTTTTCTATCTCTTTGTTTTTTTTTCTTAATCTCCAAATTACTCGAGCATTATATTTTTCTTTGGCATTTAAATCCTTGACCAGTCTTTTTGTAGCGTGGTAACTTTCTCTCTTTTTCTTTTTATACTTGTTGTACTTTTCTGGATCAAGTTTTAACCTTTCTTTAAAGCGCCTTTGCTTTTCTTTGTTAGATAGTGGCATCACCTAGAACCAAATTAATTAAAAACTGTTAGAAATCCTTTATTTAAAAATAGTAATTATATTCAATAGTAACTGGCCCTACGAACTTTGTGGATTGAATAGAAAGTGTTCAATAAAAATGCAAGTTGTTTTTTTGATTGATAGCACAATAATGTTACACAAATAAATCTCCTATAAAAATGATATAGCAATATTTGCATAATAGCCATCGATTTTGAAAAAAAAACGTATATTTAATAGTTGATAATAATCTAAAAAAGGAGATATACATTTTTTGCGCCGGGCCTGGGTCATATAATATGACGGACCTTCTTTTCAATTTTTAATTAATTAATTAATTTTTAATTATTTTTTTCCCATGATAAACAAATAATTTTACGATGTAATTTTTTCAAAGTTGCTAGAACTTATATAATATACTTACATAATTTTTCATACTGCAAAACTACAAAATTTTGGTATTCAGCAACTTGCAGCAACTATATGAAAATATGCTTTTTAATTCGCTACAATTTGCAGACTCCATTTCTGTAGTAAAACATTAAAGTTTTTTTTAATCCTATAATGCAGTTAAATTAATCTTCAAAAAGTATAAAAAAAATATAAAACAACAAGTTAGTGAAAACTTATATTAAAAGCACAAATAACTGTATATAACATATGTAAATGGAACACAATAAATTCAAAACTATAAAATATGTATGTTTATTATATTACAAACTTATATCTAAACTTATTTACAAAATATTCACAATAATAACGTTCACAAAAGCGTCCGAGCGCAAAAACAAAAAAAATAAACACTACAAATTCAAGGATAAATATCAAAACACATTACACGCACACTATGGTAAATTTGTGTCGATCGCATATAGTATTTTGGAGCAACGAGCGACACAAGCTACTCGTCGGAATGCCAGCGGAAGACTGCCGCGCGCGCCCGCACACAGCCCCTCCGCAATATATCGATTGAAATTTCGATAGAATCGATAGTTTGTTCAGCGAATGTTAACTGATTTACATGAGCAACGCTCTTTTTAGAGTACTTCTGATTACCTTTCTATTAGTGTTTAAACATTTCCAAAATTCGTAGCCGTTTATTAGATATTATTCCTGGAAGTTTAACGACAGCGTTCCGTTTTTAATTCATTATATATAGAATTTTTAAAGATAGAATCATTTTAAACGCTCTTTATGGAGATAAAGAGTTGATGATTCATATATATTTTTTTCATAATTTTTGAACCAACCGTTTTGGAGATATTATTCCTGGAAAATGCCCATTTTTGTTAATCCTTCAGAAGTGGCACCTGATCTGTGTGTGTGTGGTCTGGTACCCTGAGACATATCCAACCAAGTACATCCGCGTTATGTATCTTCCCTCTGAGTATTTTAAATATATATGATACTAATGCGACATTCCTCCTAACCGTGAGTTCGTTATATCCTGTCATTCCTAACACAAACAAAGTAGGGTAGTTTAATGGATAAAACGGATATACGCCATATAGCTTCATGTATAGATACCTAGCAAATTTATTTTGGACTCGTTCCAACATGAGAGTATATTTCTTTTCATAAGGCGCCCATACTATTGCGTTGTGCTCAAGCTGACTCCTAACCAAGGCGTTATATAACGAAATGACTGCTTTCATATTTGTAAAACCTCGTGCGAAACGCAACACCAAACCCAAGTTACGATAAGCCTTCCTACATATGCTATTAATATGATCTTTAAAGTAGAGTCCCGATGTAAAATGGACCCCTAAATCTTTAACCTCGGTCACTCTTGTCATATCTTCCCCGTTGACCTTATAAGTATGCAGCATGGGATTACGAGCTCTCGAAAAAGTCATCGCGACGCATTTCGAGGTATTGA